CCAAAAAACACTTCACAAACAAAACGCACGAATCAATTGAACATGTGATGTCGAACGTGAACTGTAAACATTGCATAACCCTGCACCACGCTTAAAACTTTGATGATGGAATCAAAACATTGAAGATGGAATCGCTCTAATCCATATGCAAAAGTTCGCGTTTTACAAACAGCGTTTCCCTATTCATCAATCTCATTGCAACCAATTCGCGTTGACAAAACCCGCGTTGTAGCAGAAATGACTAACTGGTATGAGGGCTGTGACGTCTTTCCTTTCTGTAGCCAGCATTCAGCTGGCTGGATCTCGCGAAATTCACAATATTTTACGCCAAATATAAGACTTTAAAAATTAAAAAATGCGAAATGAAATCGTGCGAAATATGAGATCTTACTGTGCATTTTTATGACCAAAGACTTGATGTTGCAGGTGTTTAAGATCACATTGATGGACCAAAAGTAGGTGTAGTGTTTTCATGTCTGCTTCATAACTTTTCAGCCACTTAAGTGACTTTGATGGTGATTTACAGGGAGGTCAGGTTTAACAACAACTTGATGGTCATCATCATGTTTTGGGGTTGTAGGTATAATATGTCCTCACTGTTACTTTTGAACCTGTAAAGGAAACTTGATCATTTTTGTTGTTACACTTGCTCATAGTGCCAGTACTGTACCAGTGGTGACTTGAGGTATGTCTCAAGTTTTCATAATACGGGCAGTCCCCGAGTTACGACCATCTGCACTTACGAACGGGATCCCAATACAGTCATGGCAAAAAATTGCAATTAAATTCCCATTTTTTTACATTGTTTTTATTGTTTAACATCACTTTATTTACAGTACTTGTACAGTATTTACATTATTTGTTATGTATGTGATATTATTGTTGTTTGTTATGGTCAGGGTTGTGCTTTAACCTAACCTAAACTATGGAATTAACTCTGTTCTGACTTATGAACAAATTGACTTATGATCAGGGTTCAGGAAGGTATCCCTGTTGTAAGGTGGGGACTGCCCATAATGCCAAATGGCTTGCACAAGTTCATGATGACTCAAATTGACTCTGCAAGTGTTCAGAATGATCCCCAAGTAACTCACATGTGATCATAATGAAGCCAAGTGACTCCTGGTTGCTGATAGGTGAGGTTAGGTTAAGTGAGGTGATCAGCATAAGCTGTTAGCACAAGTGATGACAGGTGACTTAGAGGAGTGCATTATGATGCCAAGTGACTTAGAGGAGTGCATTATGATGCCAAGTGACTTAGAGGAGTGCATTATGATGCCAAGTGACTTAGAGGAGTGCATTATGATGCCAAGTGACTTCGAGGAGTGCATTATGATGTCAAGTGACTTAGAGGAGTGCATTATGATGCCAAGTGACTTAGAGGAGTGCATTATGATGCCAAGTGACTTAGAGGAGTGCATTATGATGCCAAGTGACTTAGAGGAGTGCATTATGATGTCAAGTGACTTAGAGGAGTGCATTATGATGTCAAGTGACTTAGAGGAGTGCATTATGATGTCAAGTGACTTAGAGGAGTGCATTATGATGCCAAGTGACTTAGAGGAGTGCATTATGATGTGAAGTGACTTGGAGGAGTGCATTATGATGTGAAGTGACTTAGAGGAGTGCATTATGATGCCAAGTGACTTACAGTCTGCGCGGAATGTTAGATCGTGTGCTGAAAAAATATTGATATTTACGATTGTTACATAAATAAAGTCAAGTAACACTTACCACTTCAATTAATACTTTGTAGTGTTTTCTCTGCGCTTCAGACAGTCTTTTAGCCTTCGAGGAACACTGTCAGCAAGGTTTTGCAAGAGGTCAGGTGGCAAGTTAGCCCAGGTATCCTTGATGGCTGCCTCTAGCTTCAGGATTGATGATGTGTCAGCGTAGCGCAGACGACGCTTAACAATGGACCACAAATTTTCTATTGGGTTAAGATCTGGGCTACTGCCAGGCCAGTCATTAAAGAAAGGTACCTCACAGTCTTTGAGCCACTGTATGACACTTTTAGCAGTGTGGCATGGGGCACCATCCTGCATGAAAAGGCTTGCCTTAGCTGTATCAAATGATTCAGGTAAGAAATCACTGAGCAGTTCAAGATAGTTGTACTGATTCATCATCTGGTTCACTAGTTCACCAACACCATAATACGTAAAGGAAGCCCAAACCATGAGCGAGGCAGGGTGCTTAACAGTCTTTACAGTGTACTGTGGGAGGTGCGTGTCTGAGTGGTGGGGGGCGGTACACCCTCCCTCCATTACTCCCAGTCACAGAAAACGTAGCCTCATCCGACCATAATACACTCCTCCACGTCTCTAAATCCCACACTTCATATATCTTGCAAAATTTCACTCTATTTTCCTTCTGTCTCTTTGTCAACAGAGGTTTACGGCGGGCACGAAAGCTCTTAAATCCCAGGTCATCGTGCAGGGCTTGTTGAACACAACGTAACGAGACGTGACTCAAAAGATGGGGGTTTCTCTCTTTCACTTCACGTGCTGTGAGTGAGGGATTGGACCGAACTTGTCGAGAAATAACCTTAAGTGTCCGTGGAGACAATAATTTAGGCCTACCAGACTTAGGTAATGGAGCTGGTAACTCGTCCTCTCCAAGGTCACGGAAACGTTGGACAAGATTTTGAACAACTCGTAATGCCACACCAGTCTGAGCTGATATTTCTCTCAGTACATGTTTCGCTTTGTACAATGCAATCACTGCTGCAATATCGTCTCTTGTAGTAACCCCCCTGGACATCTCTGATGGCCCCTATGTCGGGTTAATGCACCTTAAACTAGACAAAACATAGCCACATGGCACGGGAACCCGCACAATAAATATTCCCCTCACAGCTGCCAGAGGCGCACTGACTACAAGCCGTGACGTGTTCTCAGTTGCCAAATGTCAGCACTTGCCAACAAACCAAGCGTTTTGACATCTCCCATCCCAGGACAGGCTTCACAACTTATGATCTTAATTTTGCGAGAACTTGGTTCGTCGGCCCTATCGCGATTAACATTCCGTGCAGACTGTAGAGGAGTGCATTATGATGCACTCACAATGACCCCAAATAAATCCAATACATAAAAAGGATACCAAGAGCATCACACAGTTTGTAACAGGTGTGTGTAATGATGTAGGTTACTCATAGGTGGATTATGCTCATGTTTGGGGCTATATTGTACATCACTTTTTGGAGTAATAGTCTGTTATTGTACAGACCTACTTTAGTGTACATCAAAATGGCCAATCCTGCAGAGGACTAGTTGGAAGAAAAACAGAATAGTATAGATAGTCTTGTGCTTACCTTGTAGTTGTTGCTCCTACCTTGCCAGTTGTTCCAACACTGTAGGTTGGGAAAGGCATCCATCTGTAATGCTTTGCTTTTATGTGCCTGATGGCCAGAACTGCACCCATCTCCTGGTCTCTGCTACATAATCTGGTCTGACTTAAGTTCACCATTATGTGGGTTTGCAGTAATGAGCTGGGGGCATTTTATTCAACAGCTGCCATCGTGTACTCAAAGCAGGTGTATAAAACAATGATGATATGTCAGGAGTTGTCAGTTATCGCTTTCTGGACCATGATACAGTATGTGTTTAAGTGTAAGGGAATGATTGCCACTAGCTGGACCATGATACAGTATGTGTTTAAGTGTAAGGGAATGATTGCCACTAGCTGGACCATGATACAGTATGTGTTTAAGTGTAAGGGAATGATTGCCACTAGCTGGACCATGATACAGTATGTGTTTAAGTGTAAGGGAATGATTGCCACTAGCTGGACCATGATACAGTATGTGTTTAAGTGTAAGGGAATGATTGCCACAAGCTGGACCATGATACAGTATGTGTTTAAGTGTAAGGGAATGATTGCCACTAGCTGGACCATGATACAGTATGTGTTTAAGTGTAAGGGAATGATTGCCACTAGCTGGACCATGATACAGTATGTGTTTAAGTGTAAGGGAATGATTGCCACTAGCTGGACCATGATACAGTATGTGTTTAAGTGTAAGGGAATGATTGCCACTAGCTGGACCATGATACAGTATGTGTTTAGTGTAAGGGAATGATTGCCACTAGCTGGACCATGATACAGTATGTGTTTAAGTGTAAGGGAATGATTGCCACTAGCTGGACCATGATACAGTATGTGTTTAAGTGTAAGGGAATGATTGCCACTAGCTGGACCATGATACAGTATGTGTTTAAGTGTAAGGGAATGATTGCCACTAGCTGGACCATGATACAGTATGTGTTTAAGTGTAAGGGAATGATTCCCACTAGCTGGACCATGATACAGTATGTGTTTAAGTGTAAGGGAATGATTCCCACTAGCTGGACCATGATACAGTATGTGTTTAAGTGTAAGGGAATGATTGCCACTAGCTCGTTTCCCATTCAGGGTCTTCTCTAATTAGACAAAATCACTGGTATTTGTGACAGATGAGGTTTACGTATTAGATGATCAGTGAATATTTTTGTCTGATGTAAATGTAGGTTCATTTTATCTGTATATGTGTATGTCCTGTACTTGTATCTCACCCAAGTTTGTTAGTATTAAGCAATAAGTCTAGTTAGGGCATTGGAGTTTTGTAGGGGCCTTTGTGTGCATCCTTGTAGTGTATTGTGTTATACAAATTTTCAAGGTGTTTGTTATTTTGGGATTAGTGGAAGCAGGTGTGTTAACCAACACAGTACAAGTTAATTCATCAAATGATGACCATTGTACAAAATTATATTTAGTTTACACTTAAGTGGTGCACTAGAAAGTTTTTTTCATATTAAAGGATTATTAACCAGAGAAAATGTGTGGCTGAAAGTACAGTAGGAGGGATTTGACCTAAAACCCTGAATAATAACATGAGGCAAATGTTATATGTACAGTAGTTTAGAAGAAAATTGTTATTTAATTAACAGTAACAACTTGGACACACCACTTAACATGAGAAAGTAATGGTTAGCAACTAGTAATGGTTTTTGTTGTTTCCTTAGGTCGGGCGACCCACGGGAAGTCATTGGATACCATGATTTGGATGCTCCTGATGATACAGATCTCTTTTAACCTTGACGTCGCCGGCCAATTGTACGCACCGTTCCAATTTCAAGGTTTTAGTGTAGCTGTTCATGTTACGTCTCTTGGTAACAGGTGAAGATTTTGTCATTCAAATTTCATACTTTAATATAAGTTCTGGAGAGACTGCCTGTTTCAGATGCCAGAGGCTTTTACAGCAGTTAGTCACTTTTAAGATACTTGTATAGACACACACACACTACAAGCACTTGTTTCAATCCCTGGAGAATAGGAATTTGAACAGTGGCATAAGAATTCACCCATATACTTTGCATTTTGTGTGGACCTGTTTTAAGTACCAATTTCTTTGCTACATATATGGAATAAATTTCATTATCTTCATTTTAAATCCCTTTTAATTTTGGAAATTTCACTTAATGCATAAATTTGTTTTAAGTGAAGTACATAAAATTTGTTACCAAGAGAGGGTTTTGGGCTATGCTCTTAATTGAGGATTCCTCTGTGTATTGCATAGTCAGAACTTAGAGAAAATAATATTTCTTAAATTCAGATTTCTTTAAAATATTTTTCATAAGTTCACTGTCCTTCACCTATGGTTCTCTAGGTGTTGTGCAGAAATATTACTTTCTTTGTAACATAATCGCTTACTGAAACCTTAGATTTACTAAATGCCTTGTGATATTTCCCAGGAAGGTGGTGCGTTTTGTCAACTCTGCCCTCGTTCCCTGCATCGTTATGATCGTACTTGTCGGTGTCTTTAAAAAACAATTGATATTAGTTTTCCAAAAAAACTTTGGTGTTTACCCAAACGTGGAGTACTAATAGCTGACAAGTGCACCTTCCTTTCAGTTATGTCCCTCCCTTCTCAAGGCACACATGATATATATGTGTCCTTGTTTCCTCCACAGGGTCGGTTACAGGGACCTGGATGCACCGAAAGAAGATTATTAGATTCCATCTGAAAGTGATCTGCCAGAACTGGGTCAAGATGTTTCAGTGATTTGCATATACCAGCCTCAAGACTACAGTACATACTATATATGGACCATCCAGTTCTTCGTGCCTACTGCTGCTATTATGAATAAATCATATGTGATGTTGATGTAGTTCTTGCAGAAATTACTTAGTGATATGGAAATGATCAAGTAAGTCTGGCTCGGTAGTGAAGGAAACACGACAGATGGAGCTTTATTACCTTTGTTTTGTAACTAGACGAAATGTCAGGAATAGAGCTCTATCTCTTAGGTGTGTTTCCTTCACCACTATGAACAATGTTCATAAGTCTGGCTTGTTTTCATGATACAGTATTCAGAAACAAGTAAACTTGCAGTTATATGTCTCACTGTTTGTTACTTGTGGAAGGTTGGTTTAGTTTACAGCAAAATGTGGCTGTGGTTGGTGATAGTTTCAATTGGATAACAAAACTTTTGGAAATATTTTCTTTCAATTTATTCATAGTACAGTACTGTAATTGTCCAGGCCCTTTTAATATTGAATTCATGTTACAGTATTTCATCAAACTGTACAAAGGAAAGGACTGCTTGTTCAAATACAATATTTTAGTTATATATACATCAATTGTAAATTGCAGATAAACACATGGCATTGGTATAAATACTTCTTTCTGTTGTCAGAAATATTTTATGATGTAGTATGGGAGTTTCTTGTAATCAAGTAATGAAAAGAATTTTGTATATATTGCTATTTTCTTTGTAACCTAAAGACAGAACTTTTTTAAATTGCCGTAAATTAAATACTATACAATTATTACTTTGTATTATGGAAATAGTCCAAGCACAATATATATCTGCCTATTGAGAATAAATCCAGACTTGCAACACCTGACACACCGAAAAGGTTAGGGTGTCAGGTGACTAAGAGGTTAGTCTTGAGTGTTTCTTTTTATACTTTTTTACTTCTATCCTTTTCATCACTGATGGCTCGTTAGCCTCTAGAGCGATCGGTCATGTCTGTTATGCACCGTTGGCAAGTACAGTGGTCCCTCGGTTAACGAATTACCTTCCATAAGAATCTTCATTTCGGTTAACGAATTCCTCTCATGTTTTCGCCTGCTCACCAGCTGGAATATTAGTCCGCCAATACAGTAATCGGTTCTAGGGCTTAAATTCGTTTCCATTTGAGTAAATATCAAGAAGGTTGTACTATTAAATTTTCCAAGTTTTATATTAAAACTTTTAGTCATTTTAACAATTATTTAACATAATTGAAGTACAGGTTGACAACCCTTTATCCGAAATCTTTGGGGCCAGACATTTCGGTTTTCAGAATGGCTAGGTTGTTAGGTTAGGTTAGGTTAGTTTCAGTTCAGTTAGGTTTGGCATAAATGAAATTGTGGGATAAATATGGTCCATAAATACTCTAGTACAGTTTATTTGTAAGGAAAATATTCTGTAAAACTTCCAACAGATACAGTAAAGGTACATTACAGCTGGCTTGTTTATCATGAAGAGGACACATCAGTGTTGTCATCATCAAGTAGGAGTCAGACATAGGGAGATGGGCCAGGAACAGGACTCAAGTGATGACTCAACACTAGGACAGATGGTCTTTTTAAAGGCTTCTTCTAGTGTCATCTGTCTCATTAACATGGTTTCTGTCTAAGCAGTCTCTCTTTAATTGAATAAACTGCCATAATCTCGTGCTCACTGATAAATGCATGTTGTTCAAGGGCAGTAATTAACTGATCACAGGTTTTCACCACATGGTCTATGGAGACTTTTTCACCTGTGTTCACAATTTCATCATCATCACTACTATCCTCATGCTTATCTTTATTTAGCACCATTTCAGCTATTTCCCCATCACTCAATGAATACACAACAGGTGCATCATTGTCAATGTTCAGCAATTCTTCAATGTCGGCTTCCTCCAACTTATTTACACTTTCGGAAGATAAACCTTTGGCGTAAGTAAGGAGGTTTGATATCATCTTCTCTTTATTGACACGAAATCCTTCAAAGTCTTCATCTGCATCTTCATTTCCTTCAAACATCGTTGTAGGCCAAAGTTTGCGCCAAGCATTTGTTAATGTTGGTTTATCAACAGCGTTCCAAGCATTAGCAACTGAATAAATGGCATCCTGAACACTGAACTCTTTCGTGAAGCTTTTGATTCCTACGCCTCTGTTGACTGCATCAAGCATACAGTTCAAAAAAACATCTTTATATTTGCTCTTCATGGAGCGTAAAATTCCTTGGTCACCAGGCTGTATTAAAGACGTCACTTTGGGGGGAAAGTAAATGCCAAAAACATTACTTTTCACAAGAAGTTCAGCAGGGGGATGTGCAGAGCAGTTGTCGAGGAACAATAAAATTTTAGTTTGCTTCCAGTCCAGCTTCCCTGCAATGAGCTCGTGCTGATGGTACAAAGTGGTTATTGAACCAGTCTGAAAATATTTCTCGGGTTACCCATGCTTTCTTGTTGGCATAATAATGCACAGGTAAATTGTGTACACCTTTCATACATCTTGGTCGTCAGCTTTTTCCAATCACTGCCAACTTTAACTTGTGTGCGCCTGCAGCATTGGCACACCCAAGAACAGTCAACCTGTCCTTAGCATCCTTTACACCTGTTGGTGCTCTCTCATCAGCGGTTGTTAACGTTTTTGTAGGAACATAGCGCCAGTACAGAGGTTTCATTAGCATTGTAAATTTGTTCACGACTAAGGTTTTCATCAGATATAATTTTGGCAAATTCGTCAATGTAATGTTCAGCTGCTTCATGATCAGCAGAAGCTTTATCACCACAGATTTTCAGATATTTTATACCATGACGCTTCTTAAATTTCTGCAGCCAACCTTCTGAATATTCACACTCACCATCATTGTTCAGTTCTTCGTTGTCGAATCCACTCAATCAGCACGCGGTCAAGATCTTCATTTTTTGCCCTATGCAATGTTTTTCTGTTTTGCATTATTAAGGGGTCATCACTGTCAGTGTATAACTTGTCTTTGTTTCTTTAAGTGATATACGGTGGTAGTTCCCACACCATGTTCTTCAGTAAGATGCCGCACAGGTACACCACGATCAAGCTCCTGTAATAACTCCACTTTCTGTGCTATCGATAATGAGAGACGCTTCCTTTTCTTCTCGTTGTAACCCATAGGGGTATCTGAAGCTCTTTTTGGCATTTTCAGTGAAGTTAAACAAAATTACATAAAAATATGAGAGCAGCAGACGCAAATGTGTGACTACAGTAGTAGCAATACCGAGACACATAGCGCCTCACTCACCCGCTGCCCGACGTTTGTCAAGCGCCCAAAAGCGTCAGGTCCAAGTCGTGTTCGATTTCACAGTACTGTTTGTATTGCAGTACAAGTATTATTATTATTATTATTATTAATTTTATTATTATATTTTATTATTACTATTATTGTTATCATTATTATTTTATTTTGGTGTACAGTATTTTAATTACAATTTTTATTTACTGTACTATGAATAATTATTATTATAATTATTATTACTATTACATTTTTGCCCACCAGGCCCCGATGTGAGTCAGTGATTTATGCCCTGGTGGGCTAATCCCTGTTTAAAAAAAAAATATATATATATATATATATTATTGCCCCACAAAAAACTTTCGGTTTTTAGAGCTTTTCGGTTTTCGGAATTTCGGATAAAGGGTTGTCAACCTGTACAGGAAACTAGTTTTTAGTGCGCCAAACATCCACTCAACTCACCAAACAGGCATCAGTTTGTATCTCTGGTCAGTAGAGGTAACAATTTGCTTGAGCCTCTCTTGAACATAAACTATTTTTATGTTTTTACAGTACAATTATTTGGTCAATCTGAAATTTTTATAACATATTGACAATATTTAATGCAGTGCAGTGTTGATTTAAAGAAAATAATCTTGAATTACACCTAGTGAACTTAAAATTTTATGGGTGAAATGACGGCATGAAGCATGGGGTGATTTCTCTTCCACCCCCACTTCCTTCTCTTCTCCCTTCTCCACCCCCACTTCAAATTCCCATCATCATCATCAACCAGGAACCTTCTACATACACACCTCAAAGTAAGTGTACTTTACTGCATTTATTTTACTTTGTATGTAATTTTCGGTGAGCTGGAGCCAATTACCCAAAATCCCATTGAAACAATGGTTTCGGTTAACGAACGACCTTCTGGAACGAATTGTGTTTGTTAACAGAGGGACCACTGTACTGGCTCCTGAATATATTTGAACCTGCTCCAGTGCTTATCAAGTCTGGTCTTGAAACCGCTCAAACTTGGTGCCGTCACAACACACACTGGCAGATTGTTCCAAGAGTTCACAAGTCTCACTCCGAAAAAGTTTGGCCTCACAGTTTTCTGGACTTGCGGCTTCTTCAACCTTGAGCTGTGACTTCTAGTGGGGCGAGTGTCCGCCAGCTCCAGGTAAGGGCACTCGACTGAGTAATGCCCCTTGAGATGCTTATACACCTCAATTAGGTCCCCCCCTGCTCGTCTGTAGTATAAGTTAGGCAAGTTCAGGTGCTCCAATCCCTCCGGGTAGCTGAGGTGCCGAAGTGCAGGCACCAGTCTGGTGGTCATCCTCTGAACATTTTCAACCAACTGACAGTTCCTAGCATATTTCGGGGACAGACGGGGGAAGCACTTCACTCTTGAAGATCGTTACGAGGGACAGACCATCTAGATATCTGAATGACCTTTTTATAAGACTTAATAATTTAGTTGTCTGGTTTACCTTCTTCTCGCAATGGCCCGAGAACTTCAGCTCATTGTCAACGTACACACCTTGGTCCTTTTCACATTGTCTCAATTAATGCAGTTTCTTCGTCCTGTTTGGACATATGACACGTCTCCTTACTGTTGTTACGTCCCAGGTGCAACCTCTTACACTTCGTGACATTGAATCTTAGCAGCCATTTCTTCGATCATTCTTGAAACTCCTAGAGATCCTTCTGCAGCTCTTCGCAGTCCGCTTGGTTTTTAATTTCCCGAAATAACTTGGCACCATCCGCAAACATTTGCATGGAGGAATGTACAACGTTAGGCATATCATTTATGAAGCAAACAAACATCAGCTGGCCCAATACACTGCCCTGTGGTACCCTGCTTGTGACAGGTACACATGACGATTTCATGCCATTAATCACCACACACTGCTTGCGATCATGAGAATGTCCCCGATCCATACTAGGACATTTCCGAATCCCGTACCCTTCCAGTTTAATTTTCAGCCTTTCGTGGGGTACACTGTCGAAAGCCTTGATGTCTTGATGTACTGCAATGATGTCAATCAACCTCCTCTTGTTTTCAAGACCAGTGTCCATGTAGACAGGGGCAGCAAACTTGTGTGAGTGAGCAAGAAGAAGGATGAACACATCAGTGGTAGGTGATAGAACAATGACAGCGGTGTTATGATATGCAGCCTCAGTGCAGTGCTGCAGCATGAGGGTGTCGGCTTCCTGTACCAAAAAGATAATGAAAAGGAAATTGCAAACAGACAACTCCTAATGCAGATAATGTAAATATGCAACTCCTTGCTTAAGTTATATTCCTTTATTTCTACCAAAAATTTCCTTCTCACGAATAACTTTGCCAACCATATATGTTCATATTTAGGAAGCTAAAATTGCAAAACATTAATTTTAAAGTATTCACAAAGTTACCTGATTGCTTGATAGCTCATTGTAGAAACGAGAACACAGTCACGCCTGTTAT